ATCCCCTCCACCACCATCTCAATCGCCGCCTCCCCCCTCGTCAGACCCCTCTCCCCCTCCTCCCCCCGCCAACAGTCCTCCACCCGCCGCCGATCCACCAAAACATTCCCCCCCTCCACCAGAAACCCTACCATCACCACCACCTCCTCCAATTGCCTCCCCACCCATTCCACCACCACCCCCTCCGCCAATTGCTTCCCCACCATTACCACCCCCTCCAATCCCTACCCCACCATTACCACCACCTCCAATCGCTTCCCCACCAATTCCACCACCTCCCATCGCTACCCCACCATTACCACCACCTCCAATCGCTTCCCCACCAATTCCACCACCCCCTACCCCCACCCCTTCCACATCCCCATACCCACCCCCACTCCCAAACAACACATCCACAAACGGAACCCTACCAAACTCCCCACTCCCCTCCGAAAAACCCGTCGCTAAATCCTCCCAATTCGGTCCAAACATAACCGCCGACTCCACACCCCCAAACCCCGACGGCCTCAAAGCCGGCGGCGCCGCCACCGTAGGCAGCATTGTCGGCTTCTTCGCACTCAGCCTCGTCATTCTCGCCGTCTGGTTCACCCACAAAAAGAAACGAAGAAAATCCGGCTTCACCCTCAACTACACCACCCCCTCCCCTTTCGCTTCCTCCCAAAATTCAGGTAAATAGAAAAAAAAAAAAAAAATATATATATATATATATATATATATCCCCTCGATTTTATATTTACAACTCAATTGAATTTTAATCATTGTTTTATTCTCCAGATTCGTCGTTCTTGAGGAGATCGCAGTTTTCGTCGCAACTAGCTGGAAGCCCTTCGTCGAACAACAACAACTACATGTATTCACAAGACATGGGCCTAGGCCAATCGAGATCATGGTTCACGTATCAAGAACTGTCTTTAGCTACCGAGGATTTTTCGGAAAAGAATATTCTCGGCGAAGGTGGATTCGGATGCGTTTATAAAGGAATCTTGAAAGAGGGGAGAATCGTTGCCGTTAAGCAGCTGAAAGTAGGTGGCGGACAAGGCGAACGCGAGTTTAGAGCGGAAGTCGAGATAATTAGTCGAATACATCATAGGCATTTGGTCTCCCTGGTTGGTTATTGTATCGCCGAAAGTCAAAGGCTGCTGGTTTACGATTATGCCCCCAATAATACCCTGCATCACCATCTTCACAGTAAGGCTTGGATTTCGACTTTCAATTTTTTTCTTATTTTGAATGTTTTGGAAGTGAGAATCGAGTTTTAATTTTGCTCGTTTGGGCAGGTGAAGGCAATGTGATGGATTGGGCTAGTCGAGTTAAAGTTGCAGCGGGTGCAGCTCGTGGGCTAGCCTATCTTCACGAAGATTGTAAGCTTGTATTAACTCCGTTTCGAAAATCTTTCTCCATAAGCATAATTTTGACTGTGTTGAAGAATCTATTTAAAATTGTGGCTTGTGCTTTATCAGGTCAACCCCGTATTATTCATCGAGACATTAAGTCAACGAACATTCTCTTGGATAACAACTTCGAAGCGCTGGTATGCTCGCGCAGTAAAATTTGCTATTTTTTTTTTAAATTTAAAGAAGCTTAATTTCTCTATCGTCTCGTAAAATCAATTTATGCCATTCCTTTTTTTGCCACCTCGTGCAAACAGGTTGCTGATTTTGGACTTGCGAAGCTAGTGGAATTGGATTTACACACGCATGTTTCGACCCGTGTGATGGGCACTTTCGGGTAAGGTTTTGCCACTTTGTCGACCCGTATTTACATGCAGTATAGATACAATACCGAAATTTTCATTCATCTTTGCAGGTACTTGTCTCCAGAGTATGCATCAACAGGCAAACTAACCGAAAAATCGGACGTTTTTTCGTTCGGTGTTGTGCTTTTGGAACTCATTACGGGCCGTAAGCCCGTCGACTCATCTCGACCACTAGGAGACGAAAGCCTTGTTGAATGGGTAAAAAAAAAAGAAAAATCCGGTCATCCTAATTTATTTTTTAAAAAATAAAAACACAATTTCAAGAAACAGTTCAAAATTCGTTTCTGCTATTTCTTCTATAGGCGCGGCCTTTGCTCACTCAAGCACTCGAGAGAGAGCAGTTTGGAGAAATCGTCGACCACAGATTGAAGGACAATTTCGTCCCGAGCGAAATGTTCCGGATGATCGAAGCAGCTGCTGCTTGCGTTCGTCATCATGCGACTAAAAGGCCGAAGATGAGTCAGGTAATTATTTCTAAAAATTGCTCCGGAAATTCATGCAATTTTCGCCTTCATATCAATATTTAATTCGTGTTTATTTATTGTTTTAAATTTGTGGAGGTGGTGAGAGCGTTGGATTCGATGGATGAGCTGGCGGATTTGAACAACGGGGTGAAACCGGGGCAGAGTGGTGTTTTTAGCTCGAGCGAACATTCTGCACAGATAAGAATGTTCCAGAGAATGGCATTTGGAAGCCAAGATTACAGTACAGATACTTTTAACTCTCAGAGCAGCAACTGGTGAAGCTGAGGAAGAAAACATTATATTATATATCATATTATGTTAGGCGGTTTTAATTACCATAATTGGTAACTCTAATTTGTATCCTTTTTTTCATATATATATTCTCAATTCTTGGATGTAAATTTTGGTGTTACAACTAACTAATGGTTTATTGATTGATAGTACATCCTGATTCTTTGTGTTGTAAATTTTTGTGTTAATGATGGTTTTGTTTTGTATAAGTATAATATATATTTATTAAATTAGTAGAATTATGTCATATATTTATGAATTTAGTACATTACCGTCATTCCCTTGAGAAAAAGGTCATATTACGAAAAAAATCAAAAATCATCAACTTTAAATAATTACAGCAACCCTCAACTATGAATATTCTCTTGTTTGTACCATTTTTATCTCATTCGAGCTTAACGTATTGTAACAAGATAATTATTTTGGCTTGTAAATATCATATTGTGGTGCACATCAAAAACTGCATTTTTACAAACTAGAGAACATTCTACGGAATCTAGAAGATTATGTTGAATTTAACACTATAAGGGTGAATATGTAAGAAAATTCATAACTTGAGAGGTGGTTGTAATTACCCAAACAAAATGGATATTTGCGTAATTTGATCTTACATGAGGGATGATCTGTGATCATAATTTACCATGAATTTATAGAAGTTAATCTAGAATTAGGGTTTTAGAATACGCGATTTTGCAGTTAATGGAAACGCGACTCTTGCTTTATAAGGGAAAGTAAAGTCAACCGAACTCCGAAGGAAAACATGGAGTAGTTGTATTATAAGAAAGTATTCTGCCTCGAATTTAAGATATTTTTTCATTAATAGAAGCTGTAGAACTGCGTAAGGGAAGGGTTTACACACTCAGTAATCAGTCTTCAGCCTTTTCTTCTTCCTTAAAAATCATGGGTGGCGGAGAAGCAGACGATCCGCAGAACTTGAGGCGGATTGCGGCGGAAGCCTACGACTACGATCACGACGCGCGGTGGGCGGATTACTGGTCGAATGTCCTCATCCCGCCACACATGTCCTCCCGCAACGACGTCGTTAATCACTTCAAGCACAAGTTCTACCAGCGTTACATCGTACGATTTCGTCCTTTCTTCATTTTATTGCGGCTCAATTTTATTTTTTGTTTGAGAAAAATTGCTGCTCAAATTGAATGTGAAATATTATATCTGGTATCTTAGTTACTGATGTGAATTCAGCCGGTTATGATTTTACGGAGTGGGTATCGCGTTTTTTGTTTTTAATTTCCAGCTGAATCGTTGAAGGTTTCGTCCACAAATCTATTTTATTGCGTTTCTTTCAGTTTTCTTCTTGAATATAAGAATTTAATGTGTGAACAGTAGAACTAGTAGTAGTTTCCTGCTTGAGTGTGAACACAAGTTTATCTTCTCTTTTTTGAGATCTTGATTTTTACCAATTTACCCATGCGTAGATGTCTGAGTATATATGGTACATGAGTTCCAGTTCTGGCCCTTTTCAGGGCTAATTAGATTCCCTATAAATTTTGAGGTTTTGAATCTCATATTTTCTTCAATGTTTCGATTGGTGTTGTAGAAAAGTGGCATGTATATGTTATTAATGTATTTCTTTAACTGTTGGTAGAATCTGGAATCATAGTTCTGACATGTGTTGGTCTTGTGTAGAGATACAAATAGATTTAAATAATTATCATCTTATCTGTGAATGTTATATAGCTTTATGTGGTTATTAGAATGTGGGATTAGGGTCAGTTTTAGAATTTTAGTGCATTGGTTTATCTTTATCTCTAGCTAATTTATTCTGTTCTACTACTCAGGATCCTGAACTAACTGTGGAGCCAATGGTTACTAACAGCTCATCTCAGCCAGCAAAACCATCTGTGCCGCCCCCACAATCTTCATCGTCTACTTCGACTACTAATACACGCCAGCGGAGCTCAGGTCTCACATTAGATTTCATTATATTTATGTATAGTATGTCATTTCTAAAATATGTATACTTTTGCTCTCGTTAGTATCCTTTGACTTGAATTGCTGAGATTGCATCTTGTAGGGTCCTCAAGTAGAACAACATCAGGGGCATCAGCAAATCCACCTCCGAGTTCTATGTCGATGCGATGGGATCAACGAACCATTCAATTTTCCGTTAATGCTTGGGTATGTTATATTCATTAGATGCTAAATTTAAGAAGTGCCTTAAAGCAGATGTGAGACAAAGATGTTTTATGGACATTATTTAAGTCATGAATATCAATACTTCGGTGCATCTCGAACATTGAGTATGTCATATTTGTCTAAACTCAAAGGTCGATGCATGACTATAATGTTCAAAAAAGTGGAATATTTCAAAATGCCCTTTTGTAGTAGTTTCACAGACTTTTTTATATTTATAATGGTTCCACTTTGTCTTCCTACAATCTTCATCCCTGGTTTGTAGTGTCATAACAATTAACTTGCATCTGTCCTTTTTAATGATTACTAAGGTTCTTGAATTGGTAGAATCTTTGATTTGTGTGGAAGTTTGGGTGTCAGTTCTTGTTGATTTCCACCTTATTCTTTTAGCAGCGAGTAGTGCGAGGTTTGGATAGTTCATTCTCTCCAACTTACAAAAGTTCGTTTGCAATTTACTTATGGATATTAACTTTGTCATCAACTACCCAATTAGCTTCTTATGTTGACTGATTTTGCCATAATTTTTTAACCTTTGGCATCTTCATATTTGAAGTATAATTGGTGTCAGATTGTATGTTTACGGGAATATATTTTATATTAAACTATTTTTGGAGCAAGGTTTATGTAAAACCTAATTCTAAGAATAAAATGTCAAATCCTTACCATTGTCAACAAATTCCATACATTATTGTCTGTGTAATATCAGGCAGCTGCAAGACTTAGTGAGGGACATATAGATTGTTATTATGGTCGTCATATCTATATAAGTTCATCGGCATATATCTAAGCTCTGCTGCAGCTGGCGTAAATGTGCACTGTACATGCCATTTTTTTTATTTTTTTTGTTATTTTTTACATTTTTGTAGGCCACCTGTGATTCATTGATTTATCTATCCGTCTGGGTTGCAAAAATCATTTTCATTTTATCATTTTCTTTGCAGATCCTCGTTGTGGCAGTTCTCGCAATCTTTCCACTTGTGCCAAAAAATCTCTCAAATCGGGCATACCGCCTTTCCTTGTTGGGGACTGTTTGTTCTTCTCTGTATTCCTTGTATTCATCATATGGGGTAATGTTCTAGTTAGGTCCATTATATGTTCCATTGCACAATTTACCTTTGGTTTGCTGATATATAATGTTTTCACAGAAACCTAGAGCATGGAACGTGCAAGCTTTGCAAGTGTGGTTTCAGTCTGTGGTAGTCACGAAAGACTTTATCTACTCAATATACTGCCTTTCTTTTATCACTTCTAATCTGTGCCTCAAATGTCAGTACTCCTCGATTATTTGATTTCAATTTTCTCGTTTTTGTTCCTCTCTATCCAAAAGTGCTTAAGTTCCCAATTGGATTCTTTGCAGTTGCATTAATTCCTATACTGTGCCGTTCCCTTGAGCATGTTGCGAAGTTCCTGAGGCGTAACTTTAGCAGATCCACATTGTACAGGTGAGAAAGCTTGCATTTGACACTGCATATTCTTGAGAAATTTTTGATTACTTTGATTGTTTGGTGGAATTGTCTGAAATGAACAATGAGATGTGTTCTGGCTATGAATTCTATAAACATAGTTAGGTTGTAAACCAACGAATATATATGTAATACTTATTAAACTTGCGTTTGTAAATTTCACCTATGCAACTCACAAACGTATCAACTTTGAAATACTACTGAAAATATACACAGTGCTTCAAACTAAGCTCCCATCGACATGCTAATCAACGATACATGTCACGTTGGGGTTTGAAAAATGAAAGCGTGCGGGAGAAGTCTAGCTGAAATTTATATTGAGCCGGCATAGCATTCATTTTGATTTTGTTGTTTTAGTTATTATATTCTCTTCCCGAATACATACATACATACATACATATACATACATGTTACTTATTCCATGAGTTAATGACCTTTCTGGTGCGGTTGCTACAGGAAGTACTTGGAACAGGGTTGTATCTGGGTAGAGTCAAACACAACTACTCTTAACATTGTGTCATCACAAGCTGAGATTGGAATCGGGTTCCTTCTTGTTATCTCTCTATTATCGTCAGTATCTCTGCTCACTTCCCTTGTTAATACTTTTTTCTTTGTCTTCATAAATGTAAAATTTATGATTTACTATCCCTTCTTACTAATTAAACATGCAGGCCGCAGCGCAATATCGTACAAGCATTTATGTACTGGCAGGTGTGTCCGTTTTTTCACTCGGAACTCGAATTTCAAAATTCCCATTTATATATTTGTTTCTGTAGCTATATTGATTTGATTTTGTTTTTATGTTAGCTTTTGAAGCTCATGTACAATGCTCCTACTACTGGGAGTTACCATCAAAGCGCATGGGCGAAAATCGGGCGGACTGTGAATCCGTTAATCCAAAGCTATGCTCCATTTTTGAACACTCCAATTTCCGCCGTACAGAAATGGTGGTTCAGGTGAAGAGCCAACAAATTCTGTTAATTTCCTTAAACTAAAAAACTTGTTATTACGAGCAAGACATTTTACTAATCTGGTATCAAGAAAACCATTAGGAGTTAATTATTGTGGTTCTGATATTGTTTTTTTTTTTGGGAATGCTGAATTTTAGTAGAACTGAATATTGATTGAGACAACAGGCAAGTGACAGACCACCGATTTGTCATTTTTTCCTGACCACTTTAAATAATAAAAAAAATAAAAATAAAAGGCAGAGTTGTGGGAATCAATCAGATTCTCCCAATTAAATAACAGGTTGGTTTTTATGCCACTTGTCAGTTGTTGATTGCGATTGCCATTGCACCGTTGGTCCGTCTTGTATCCAAACAGTTGTCAATTTGCTCGAAATTTCGACATTTTCGAGTCTTACTTTCAAGTGCGTGTGCAAAATCTTTTGGAAGAAATACTTATGAAGTTGTTTTAGTTCATAATCTGTTTTTATGGGTTTATAAAATTAATTTTCCTTTTTTTTGCTTCTCTTTACATAAGTGCTTTTAAGCTGTTTTTTTATAAGTTACCATAGATCTACCATCTGTATTTAAGTTCAATTTCCATAAATAAGCACTGAATACTCACTTAACTAATAATCGCTAACTTCTACTTTTAAATTAGCCTTTGCAAATAACACCTTAATTTCGACTAAAGTTAATTAATTAATTTGAGTTGGTGGACTTGTTAGTTTGCACCCAAGTATCAATTGAGGACACAGTGAAACTAATAAAATGTGAAGGTGTTTTTGTACCAATAAAATTAATTCAAAAGATATTAATATAATCCCTAATTAACCTTTAAATAATGTCAAGGATTTTTCTCAAACCGCCCAATTTAAAATAGCATAATTTGAATTGAATAAATCAACCGTGGCGTGATGAAACTATAAAGAATTATCAGTCACACCAACAGAACGTGAAATAATATCACAGACAGATCGTTTCGCGCAAACCGATACACAAAACGACAGTTATCAGCACGACTTCCGACTTATACCAATTTTTTGCTAATCCCCATAAAAACCTCCACCGTTTTTTCATTCTACATACACACCACGATTCTCCAAACCCTCGATTCTCGTTTTTTTTTCTAATTCCCAAGCGCGGCTCCCTTCTCCGGCGCCGATGGAGACGTCGTCGTCCTTGCCGGCGATTTTCCCTTCCACGGATGAAATTACGGAAGAGGCGGAAACCGTTAGTCTCGTTAGAGTTTCGAGTTTACCTAGTGGTTTTTCGAGCCAGCAGAGGAGGCGGAGAGTTGGCAACAATACGGCGTCGTCGTTGGGGGCTCTACCGCGTCGTCAGCAGTTCAGCCGTGAGATCGGCCATGCCGCGGCGGAGACTTATTTGCTCACTCGCCTCAGCTTCAAGCTGCTTACCTATCTCGGGTACTATTCTTATTTTTTCTCTGTTTTAGATTTCGCTGCGGCATTTGAACAAACATGTGGTGGTGGTGATAAGAAGTACGAGCATAAGTAAAATCACTGCTGTGTAATTTTGGTCTTATTAAAGTAGTCGTTTGATGATTTAGCTGAAGTTTGATAAGGATTTTACGTTTGCCTAATCATTTCCTTTCTTCAGGGTAGGCTACCGGTGGATAACAAGACTGCTAGCCCTTGCTCTTTATGCCATGCTGCTTATGCCTGGATTTCTCCAAGGTAAAGTTTCAAATAGTTTTCATGATTCTTTTGATATGGTAAATCGAAGGACATATTGCAGGCATATTCATAGTACCTGTATTATGTATATCGAGAAGCTAGAGCATATTTTCTCCTGTCGGAATGACCGAGTTTTAGAATGGGATTAGTTCACAATATCGATTCCATTAAGATGTAACAGTTGTATGTCCGTGCAATCTCTCTTTAACGAATAACAATCCTAGTTGTTAGTGAGATGGACATGGCTCGAGTGAATATTTTCGATTTGTTGTTTTCTTCTTTAGGGTGGAATATTTTGAGCAAAATATTCTTGATTTTTTTTTCTTTCGTTTTGGTATCCATAAATGAAATCTTAGCTCGTTTGTACTTTTACGAATAAGATTTATTGAATTTGCTCTGTGGCAGTTGCATATGATTATTTCTTTTCGAGCCAAGTCCGTCGAAGTGTTGTTTACGGAGATCAACCAAGAAATAGGTATATTTTGGTCTTTGAATGTTGTCCTACATTTCTGTACTGTATTGTAATATCACGGTCATGATAAATGCAAAAGTCTTGTGCAGGCTGGATTTATATTTACCTACAAACACTGATGAATTGAAGCCAGTGGTGATATTCGTAACTGGTGGAGCATGGATTATTGGGTAAGTCGGATAAAGTATGTACTCGTATGTTTGATACGATCATATGATGTCTTTATATGCTATTCAGTGATTAGTGAATGTTTAAGTATTTTATGTAGTAAGTTATGTCATAGTTTCGTACAGGTACAAGGCGTGGGGTTCTCTCTTAGGATTACATTTGGCAGAAAGAGATATTATTGTGGCATGCATTGATTACAGGTACTCGAATCTCTTTGAAATGAAATATTGGACCTAAATACTGATTTTATTTATTGATCAAACTTGTACTACTTGTTGTTTGGTAGACGGAACATAAATTATTGGGATTTTGGACTTTGGATTTAGGATTTAGAATTTAGGATTTAGGATTTAGGATTTGGTGCTAAATACTAGATTAGCTTTTTGTGTATTCCCCAACTCTTCAGTCACTGCTTAATAGGCAAATAATGTCATTACTCATTATAGGTGCTTAATAGGCAAATAATATGCATAATTTTATTATTATTATTATTATTATGATTATTATTATTACTATTATTATGACCACTATTATTATTATTATTATTATTATTATTATTATTATTAATATTATTATTATTATTATTATTAT